GTTCTAATTTCCTCTCTAAAAGAAAATAGCGTTCGTGGATTAATTTGTTGAGAGTGAACGGCAGGAAGGCTTTCACTCCTTACACTGGTGATATTTTCTATGACTAGATATACGGGCAAATGATCACTTATCGGGGCACGCAGCGTGCCTGCCTGTAACGTACTGTTTGTATTACTTGTGATAAACAAGTCTAATAGAGTAGAAGTGGTATCAGTAATACGTGTTGGAATGTTAATTACGTTTGTTAAGAAAAAAGAAGCAAGAAGGTCTGAAAGTCTCATCATTTTTTGTGTGTCACTCAACATATCTATGTTAAGATCACCTCCCAGCACTAGTTTGTAATTAAATTGGTTTACAACGGAAAATAGGTTTTCTAAATATTGAATAAATGAATCAAAATTGCCACTTGGTGGCCTGTAAATTGCATCAAAAATGTAGTTGTGATACTGTAAAGTTTACCCCTCAAGGTCATCGGTGCACAGAGACAGATCTTCACAATACTCATACGTTATTTCAGCTTTGACATACAAGCATACACCACCACCAATACTCATTTTTCTATTTTGGTACACAACATTATATCCGTCAATACAAAACACGTCTGTTTCACTACGGTATCAAGTTTCAGTCATCATAATTACGGAAAAGAAAAAATTCAACTCATCAAGAAACAAAAGAAAGTTTTCTTCTTTCGAACGAGCTGACTGCATATTATTGTGAAGGAATGTCATGGGCTGCCTATGACGGCCACCTACGTACGAGTTCAATTCAGAAACGCTGGAATACAATGCCATTGTTCACAGCAGAAATATAAGTCTACTACTAAGCTAGACTACTTTAGCCAGATTCGCCTCAGAAGTTACATTTAAAACAGGTGTCCTGTCTGCTTTCCGTATGAAGATCCTGCCCTGTCATAACGATACATATTTCCATTCTCTTTCACGCCTTGCTTGCCGTGCCTTACTGAGCAGAACCTTCATTTCCATGCACAGGTGTTCATTTATATATACAGGGTTACTGTTGTCAAAACCAAGACGAGTGCTTTCTAGTTTAATCTTTTTTGCTGCGGACAACATCTTGTCTCGAGCCGTTCTGGTGAGGAATCTGACGACCACATTTGATTTCTTTTTATATTTCGATAGTACACGGTGCGCGACGTCAATGTCGTTATCTGTGACATCAGTTCCTAAGCACTTGGCGATGTTTGCAACAGTTTTCTCCAAGTTTTTTTTTCCGACTAGCGGAAGACCTTGGATTTCAATATTCATATTTCGGCTGTATTGCTTTAGCTCGACAATTTCTCGTCTAGCTTCTTTCAGGTCCCTCCACAGTTCTTCGTTTTCCTTACGACACTGCGCACTCTCAGCCTTTACCACGTTAATCTCCTTGCGAAAAGCCTCCAGGTCAGTCCTAAAGAGCTCAAAGCTCTTATTCATGAAAGCAATAGCATCTCGAACACTTACAAGTTCAGTGACTATTTTAGTGTTCGAGGAAGCGACCTTAGCTATTTCACACTTAACTTCAGTCGAGAACACGTCAAGTCTTCCCACCAGATCACATAGAAGTTTCACGACCTCTTTAATGCTATTAGGCTGCCTCTCAGCAAGGGTCGCCGCAATACTGCCCATGACGCCCGAATTTTCATCCCCCATGGTTTCAAGCACTTCAAGTAAAAAAAACTGCACGAAAAATGCTATTGTGCACACAAAGAAAGAGGCAAAGATTGAAGATTAGAACGAAAAAAACAATGTTGTGACTACAATGCCCAATAAAACTTCAGCAGCAGCAGCAGCGACGAAACTAGGTGCATATAATGTTCAATATGAAAGTTAACCAGCCTGCAAAGAGTGCAGACAGTAGGTTGGCGTGCGTCCTTTCGCCGTCGCCGCTGCTGATGAAGTTTGGTAGCGGGCCCCCGTCCTAGGACCCATCGTCGAGCAAGTCAGATGAGGTGGTCGTAAGAACGACAACAATTTATTTACATGGTTAGTAACTGAGAATTCGAAAAGAGGTGATAGAGTAGAAGTCAAGAACTGTACATGAGAACGGTTGAACTGAAAAACTTAAAATATACAAAAGTCTTCCGCTAATATAGCGCCGCGTTGCCAACCCTGGGCGCATTGTCCATGGCTTCAGCCAATACGGCGCTCCATGGTCTAGGGGCTCCACCCTCGAAGGAGGGAAAAGACACCACACAATGCATGTGGAGAGGGCACATTCTACACGATGCCCAAATATGGGCACAAACGCACTGCACCGACGTTTCGCACGTGTCATTAAGATTTCGCACACGTCCGATGATCTTAGATCACCTTGGTTTCCAATATTCTTCTTGCAGTTGGGTGAAGTTTGAAAAAACCGGCTCCCCGTACTCGTGTCAAACTTGCCTGACTGTGTTCGGGTGGGACAATGTAGTGGTCCGCCAGCATATCGTCAAAACATGCCACTCCATTCAGCCGATCCTATAGAGAAAGAAAAAAGGAGATGTGGTTGTCTAATCCCTCGTCGTTGAGGCGGGCTCCCTCTGCAGATAGTGCATTTTCCTTTCCTTCAACCCCACATTGCATTCCTCGTGGTTTGCTGGAAGGTGCGGCTTAGCCGCAAATTTCCGGGGCTCCACTTCTCTTCGCAAGGTGCAGTCACAACCAGTTTGGTTTTAGCTTTTAGTCTAAATTGCAAATACCATGCTGGTTCCGATCTTTCCAGATCCTCGGTGACCTTGAAAATGGCCCCGCTGCTTCCTTGTTTGTCTCGAAAGCCTTGCATAGAGTCCAGCTCACAAGGGCCTTTCTTGGCTCGTGCGTTTTTTTTTTTGCGCGAACTGGTCCTGGACCCCTAGTTCACGTTTTGCTGACAATTAATCAACCCGCCTTGACGGCACACTCTTGCTTGGAATGCGTCGAATTATTTTCGTCCAGTTCCCAAAGACCGAAAGACTTCAATAATGATGACGGTCATAACAGCCGGGACTCACCACAGCTCCGCTTAAGTATTTCCGTCACAGATATAACGTTGAATCCGATCGCGTTCGAGAATGCAGACAGCCCGCGAGTAACAAAGCAACACCGACGAGACGCGAGCCAAGGAAGCCGAGCGAAAGCGTCTTCAATGCGCCCGCTGCACTGCTTCGTCCATGTCCCTCCAACGACCCGGCACGTACGGTGGTTATCCATGATAATGAGAGAGGTACTCGTTCTCCGCGTCTCAGGCAAAGCTTGCGCAGCAGCCAATCGGAGACTGAGCGGCACTTGGCAGAGTAGTGGCAGAGTAACGGCAAAGTAGTGGCAGAGTAACGCCATCTAGAAAATGAGACGAGAATTGGTCATCCATTTCTTTCGCCTTCTTTTCTTTCTCGTCTCTTCTCTCGGTTACGCGTGACCAGTGACATTGTTAGACTAGAAGGAGCTTCGCCCCTAAAAAACAAAAACGAGCAGAAAAGGTTCCATTGCGAGGCATCGAACCAGTAACCTCACAGTCTGCAAAGCACTGCGCCAACCACTCGGCCATAAAACCTACCATGTAAAGTTTGCTAACGGCAAGCCAATATTATACGCCACACACCATTTGGTGGTGTTCATAGCTCTGTAACTTCGGTAACTTCGGTGGGGTTGAGTCATCAGTACAATATTCTATTCTATTTCAATTTATTTAGCAGAAAAACAATCTGTAGGGACACCTGGGCAAAAAGCTGTCCCAGCAGCTTGACGAAGGCCAAGCGTCCCTTACATGGCAATAGAAAACGCACGACACATATCATCAAGTGTTTTTACATAGCATTCGCATGGAAAGCGTTATACGTACAGATCAGCATACATCACACGTTTACATAAAATGTAACTGTGAGGCTTCGTACAGGAATGCAGGGTAATGGGTTATTATAAAGATAAAAGTAGTGCAGATGTTTTTTTTTATTTCTTGCGGCTGTGTGTTTGTGCCAATTGAGTATGGTTAGAATATTATCAGTTAGTCATTGCAGGCTGTAGTTGTTCCGGGACTAGGGTACCTTCATACCTTAGGGTTCGATGTGTGTTTTGTGTTGTTGAGCACTTCTAGCTTAGCGAGTGACGTAAAGTAAGTTTGAACATTTTTGGATGATAAATGCATTTTTTCCCAATAATCTATATTAATGTAGGCTGTCAACGCGAGATGGGTCGGGTGCGCTAAGGTCGTCGCCTCTCGCGTTTCGTTGAGTGCCACCACTCTCTCCTGCGCGTCCAGTTATCACTGTTATCAGACTCGTGACTCGGAAGGCTACAAAGATCACTTCATTCGCTGCTGCGGCCGCGTTTGCGAATAGAGCACGGTGCTCACACGAAGAAGTAAGAACTTTGGCAGTTCGTGCTTGTCCTGTGTATACTTGTGCATTCGTTTCATGCGTCTTTCTGTTCGAACAGCGCGCTGCGATTTTTGAGCTGCTTGCTGTTCTTCGCGTGACGTGGCAGTTTGTTTCTGCTGCATTCATTTATTCGCCCTTGTGGCAAAACAATGAACAATGACCACTCACCTACCTTTTTGAAGACACGTTTCGCTTTCGTGTTATACTGATTCCGAAAATAGGTATAGGCCACGTTTTTAGTGATATTTGGGACTCTTTATATATTTTACGGTACATTCCTATTGTCCTGAGTTGCTTACAGAACAAGTGTTTCAAGGAATAGACATTCATGACCAACAAGATGTCCGGTTCCGGCTACACACTACTGTTCGCATTCGCCCATATTGCTGCTTGAGAACAGCGTAACAAAGCACAACAGAAGAAATTGTGTTGTACAGGCTTCACATCGCATAGTAACACCCTGTGGCGTTGCACGCATCGCACAATCTATATGTTATGTTTAAGGGTTCTTAGTTACAGCGCTTCATCGTTGCACTTACGGGAGCTGCACGTAAAGAAAGCTTGCGATACGGCGTGAAACTGAGAATTTGCAGATGGTGCGCTTTTTGCTTTCATGTTGTTGCTCGCGCCGATCGCTTACCTCACAGACGGATGACGTACAACGCGCACATGAGGGCATGCGCCCGCCGCTCAGCTCCTAGAATCTCTCCCAGACGCTACGAAGACCGCAAAACGATGAAGACGGAGCGCGCGGTTCTCTGTATTGCACGCACAGTCGAAGCTCCTTGAAAGTGTTCTGTTCTGTTTCAGTCTTGAAAGTGTTCTGTCTTTTGTTTGAGAAAAGAGTGTGCGAGCGAGCTACGGAAGGCCACGCGTGTGCGAAGTGAAAGAAATAACACAAAAAATACAAGATACCGGAAGACTGAGAGCAAAGCGTGCTTGGCCCGCACTGAAAGCATGAAACTTAATACCGCAGCTGTCGCCATGTTCTCCGTTTGGGTGAGTCAGTCACGACTGTTTCGCACTGTGGTTCTGCTGTCAAAGTGCAGACAAAACGTGCACTCGGCGCACCTTTTTGTCAGAGCGCTTTGCGTAGCAGATTAGTATTATCATCTTTTGCATTTAATGTAAAGCAGATACAGTGAAATGAACGTTTCATAAACATTCTTGGTCAGAGTTGTCAGCATGTAAATTGCAAGTTTTGTTCGTGCCCAAGAAAGAAAAAAAAATAATTGGTTGGTTTGCACAATAGGTTTTCCTGCCTAGTAGCATCTTAGCCAAGCTTGCTTCGACCGAGAACATTTTTTGAAGAGATGGTGTTGTATGTGTCTCTATGCAAATGCTAGGCATTCAAGTAGTAGATTCTTATTGTTTCAGGGCGATTCCAGGTGTTTAACCCCGACTGACATAATTTACAAGGCGCAGTTATGTTACAATGCAGTAATGATATATCTAAGCTTCAAAGAAAGCTATAAAGCATGATGGCATGTTTGAATAATCGTACAGTTAGTATTTATTCAAACTCCGTAGCTGCCTTGGCAAGAGTGAATGAGCGTGTTTTTTTGAAGACTATCTGCTGGTGATGCTCAAAAAAACTCATCTTAAAGGAGTTGCTTATTTGTCAACTCTTGACTCAATAGTAGAACGTTTTCGCACTAGTAGGTAACTGCTGGTCTTGTTAATAATAATAATAATAATAATAATAATAATAATAATAATAATAATAATAATAATAATAATAATAATAATAATAATAATAATCACTGAACCAAATATTTAACGCGCCCTGAAACAACCATGAGACCTTAGAGAAGGTGCTCGCGAAAAATAAAACAATAAAAATAAACAATACAATACAGACCATGTTCAGAAAAAGAAATGCATTAAAAAAGAGAGAAAACGCACAATAAAACACATCAGCGCGAAATGGGGAGAACAAAAAGACATGAAAATCATGAATGGCAGGGAAAAATGAAGGCGGACATACACAACTATTGTAGAAGCCTTCTTGAAAGACGGAAAAGGGAATAATTTGTACAATGTGAAAAAACTAAGAGCCGAGATGAAAACGATGATATTGGCCTGCGAAAAACATAAAGATCATTAAAGTGAACATAATATAGACTTTGTATTCTGTGAACGGCAGAGCTGAAAGAAGTTGGCAGGTACATGAAATGGTCGATTCTCTGTGCTTACCTTCAGCGAAATCCGAAAATTTACACAATTGACAAGTGAAGGACAGGATATGATACCATGAACTAGTTTGTAAAAAAAAAACAAAAGGTCAGCGCGATTTTGTCGGCAGGGAAGTGCTGGCAAATATATTATTCTGACAATGTTGGAACACGATAGATAGGCATTTCTAGCGAAACAATAGTTGTAAAGGCTTACGATTTTTTTTCTGGACTGGCTCAATGGTATCCCTGTCAGATTTACTAAGGCCAATGCAGATCACCAATATATATGTTCACGTTAAAGAAGACTTATTGCAGCATACAATTTGTGGAAGGCTATAGAAGAACTGAATTCGATTCTACAAATGCAGCCAACAGAACGAAGGCTACGCATTGCGGCACATTTACTGTGAGCAGAAAGAATCAGCAGGCTATCAATAAGAACACCAAAATCACTAAATTCATAAACCTTACATAACATATGGCTTCCACAGAGTATGGAGATGACACGATGGGTGTTTTGTAAGATATACTCATGAATTTGGTGTTTGAGGTATTCAGAGAAAGGTTATTGTTTTCACACTATTTGGAGTAAGCACACAAATTTGACTGCATCAAGTGACATTCGTAAACTGAATGAATTTCTTTAAACATCTTGATGCTATCGGCATACAATAGAAAAGAAGAATAACAAGTTGCAAAAGTAACATCGTTAACGTAAATTTTAAAAAAGTCACAGCATATTCTCTCAGTGAATGATGATGAGAGGGGCGGAGCGTCCATCCGTCTATCTGTACGTCTGTCTTTCCGTCTGTTCATCCGGTTATCTTCCATCTGTCCGTTCATCCATCCTTCTGTCCGTCCATTCCTATTCTCGTCTGTCTGTCTGTCTGTCTGTCTGTCTGTCTGTCTGTCTGTCTGTCTGTCTGTGTGTCTGTCTGTCTGTCTGTCTGTCTGTCTGTCTGTCTGTCTGTCTGTCTGTCTGTTTGATACTGCCGGTTAGGCCTGATGCAGGACAAGGTCAAGCTAACAGGAGCTTTGCCCCTAAAATAAGATTTGACCTAATTCCGACCCTTGGAAAACTCCACTAGTAACTTTGTACAGGGAATACGTTTGGCCATTTGCGGCAACATAACATGATCTACTAAGCACATTGATGAGCAGTGGATTCACAACATGCGAGTCAACTTCAAAGTTTGCAAGTTTATCCAAAAACAGTGATTGACTGACCAGGTCACAGTAGACTACGTCAACCTGTCCTCCCTGAGAAATAGGGGGGGGGGGATAATAGTAAGAATGATATTAATATATTAATAATAATATTAACCATGTAATAGGTGTTTAACATCGCAAAATCACGATATCATTGTGAACGCCGTTGAAGAAAAGTCTAAAAATTCTGACAATCTGGTGTTCTCTAACACGCCCTGATATCGCACAGCACATGGGTGTTGGGATAGTGTTGGGATAGTCATTACATTGAGCTGCACGCGGGCGCATAGGCACAACTTATAAACTAAAGTTTTAGGAAGGGTGCTTCCAACAAATAATTTTGTATACAAAATGTATGTAGGCGTTAAAATGCAAGTGGAAAATTTCGACAAGCACACCACTGCATCCTACTGCTTCATGCGTAGTTAAACTTAAGAGTTTATTAGAGATTAGGCTATGTTCCAAAGTCAGCAATACTTGAATGTTGCGAATATAACATTTAATAACCGACAGTTTGCCACTTTTTAGTACAGTGCATAGTACGTGAGTACACTTTCAAAGTACATACCATTTTTAGTCATCGGCTTTTCTTTTTTCTAAACGCACAACTTGGCAAAATGCACTGCGAAGAAATGTCATGTAGCGTGTTCTTTTAATGGCCTCGCTGCCCTCTAGCTTATAGAATAAGAAGTTTTCCTGAAGGCGTTAACGTTTTCTTTCATGAATATTATTTTGTTGCGTCGAATTGTCGCTCATGCAATCTATTCGAGAAACGAGGCAGAACATAAAAAGAGCCCATGCTTTACTGATGTGACAAAACTTGTATTCATTGAACTCCCTGGAAATGTAAGCCAGTCCCATTTAGGAGCAAGCCAATCATGCATATAATTATCGCTAATGGGGCAATAACTAAATGCAAGAATTGAGGATTATTTTGGCGATCAATCCATTTTATAGCTGACAGCTTGGTTCTTTTACCCACTGTTATCACCACGAGCTTGATCAGCTTTTATGATTGGGTCAATGAGATAAAATTTCAGGATAACAATCAACTCGACACTCTGTAGTTTCCTCAATTGTTCTATACGGTGGTCTTTCAGTAGCAGTCACTGCGACTGCTATTAAGCGCTTCCCAATTCCAAGACCGTTAAGGTGCATTGACAGGAATATTTCCTGTCTATGAACCTTCAAAGGTCTGCATTTGCAAGCACCTCGTAACATCGGCGACAAGGATCTGTAGCTACAAAGCCTAATAGCTTTGAAGGTGCAAGATTCTTGTTGCCCAAGAATTATGTGGCTACCAAGCTACACGAACATTTGTGCGGATTTCTATGTTGCTTCGTTATGCAAACACGTGGTTGGCGATTCTATCTCGCTCGTTAACATTTTGAACTTTATGTTTGAAGGCGCAGTTGGAATTAAGAGTTTAGATGTAGTTCGAATGGCTCAGATAAGATTTTCTCGCAAGATGTACGAATGTGCGAAACTCGAGAACAACGCATCAATTATTTTCCTAATAGAAGCACTCTCAAATCCAGTTTACTCGAATATAGTATTGGAAACATTGCCATATACCTCACGTCGTTCACTTTGCGCGGTCTTAGATAAGTGGAAGCAAAATAGTATCAGTTTGCACACAGTTTGAAGGAGACACAGTGTGCCCACCGTCTCGCATACAACCGGACATTTGCCCAGTTATGCTCAATCTTTTCGCAATGAAATGTCATTTATAGATCGCATATTCGAGGATGCATATTTCTTGGCATCAATACATGGAAACACATCTGTCATATTAATGAAGGAAGGGCTCGTTTTTTGTTTTTTTTTGCGAAGCATTTCTTAGGGAACTTCGGTGACTTTGAGCGCATCTGTCTATCTATCTATCTATCTATCTATCTATCTATCTATCTATCTATCTATCTATCTATCTATCTATCTATCTATCTATCTATCTATCTATCTATCTATCTATCTATCTATCTATCTATCTATCTATCTATCTAGACGCTTATGGTTTCGTGCTCTCGTGGTCACCCCCTTAACTTGGCGTGAACTAAAATTAGCATGGGAGAGTAAGATGGCTGGTCAAATATGACCCGAAGGTCAAGACATGAATAATGTCACAATTCCGTCACGTACGTCGTCAAACACGTCCCACCAGACAGTGAACATACCCCACTGGCGGGTATATGCTTTGGTGTGCGGGTATGTGCCACAGGTGATTGACACTTAGTACCTACCCTGAAATGACGAGAACACACATCAACAATTTTCACGCGTGAGCGTTAAGAAACACCCGACATCGGTAGCATCGATCCGATGAATACAAAGAATATATGTCAGGGTCACAGCTGGAATCAAACCCAAGCATTCTGCGTGGCAATGAAGCATTTTGCCGCCGAGCTACGCAAAGTCTCGGAACTACTTTTCAAATAGACGCTAGTATTTGTGAAACGTCTATAGTGGTTGCAGTGCTGCCTGCCTAATTTTATAAGTATTACATATTTACACTTTTGATACAGCCGTCACGTCGGGTTAACGTCGATTGGTGTTAGCAGCCAAGCGCTTAAGTTGATTTATGTAGCAGTGTTCAGGGCCAGCATCCTCGCGAGC